GATTAACATATACATGTGATTGTGCTGTTCGCCACACCTGACCAGCAATTGGCCTTGTCTGCACTACAGGTGAGCGCATGAAACTCGTGCCCTTGACCGATGTCTGAACAACTCTGAAAAAAGCGGAGCTAGAAATGCGCAAAACTAGCAGTATCAGGGCCAGATCATTGATTAAATTGGATACAGTTCGACTTGATGAGGGCAGCAAATAATACTCAGTGGAGCTTGTACACGCTACCTCGCCCAACCTGTAAATTCTCGTAAGCGAAGCGGTTCACTTGTGCCATTCCGCAGCTTCATACGTGTTTATAGGTCTAATCATGATACCTGTCAATCAACAAGAACTTCCAAAATATAGCAGCAAAAGTGCGAGGTGTCCCCACTTCCCCCCCCCCGAACTGAACAGCGCCCAAAATTGCTCCGTAATATGTCAAATAATCAGTGCCGAAAATGTGCAATCAGAAATGAAATGTAAAAAGAATTTGGTAGAAAATAGAAAGAAAAGCAAACTCCATCGCATATGATGTATCCTTGAGGCAACTGTTCTACAGTCACGGATATAAATAGCCTTGATATTTGAAATTTCCAGAGAAAAAGAACCCTTTTGTTTTTGCATCGAAGCGTTTCGAAAGTTAGCAAAAGAATGTACTACGAACAACTTGAACACATTCCCTTTAACGTCATTAACTTTATGTTTTTCTCTGCACTCTCCGTCGGCACGACAATCTATTACCACTACGATTTTAAACGCATGATCAAAGGTTCGCTCATTCCGGAGTTCCGTTTGCCTAAAAAAGGTCATCTCTTGGCTCGCAAAATGTTTTGGCACTTTCCCATGCCTTAACAGCCACACTCCTCTTTCTCTCTGCGCACTGACCTTTCGTGTCAGGACCTTACTAGATGTTGTTGCCACGCAACCAAAAATTTCGTAAACGCAAAGGTAGCAGGGCAATTTGGCGGGATATTTTGGCGCCCAGTAGGCTATTGCATTTGCGACCGTTGCACACATTTTTCTTCTATAACAACGGGCGCGAGAAGATTTACCTTCCTAGGCTGAAAACGATTGTCCCCGCAACAAAAAGAAAGGAATAAAATGAAAATTGGAAATTTACTGAAGGCATCTCTTCATTATCTTGGTCCTAAAGACTAAGGTAAAGTGGTTCAACCACAAGAGCTCCTTTCACTGAGCTCGATCGAAAGATCTCATTCTCAATGTTTACAATGATTTCTTCACACTTTCTAGCACTAAATGTTGGTCAACACAAAACAAACGAAGAGAAGAAAAAGAGTTTAAGCAGAAACTTGAGCCTCAAACCTTGCCCAGAAATGCGGTGGACTACGGCATAAAGTAAAGCCCATAAGAATACCACTGCATAGGGAACTTTCAGGTGCTTCATGTAAGCACTACTTGGACACTAATTGAGCATTCACTCGTTTTACCTGGATTAATGAACATTCAGACAACGATATGCAAACTTACTAATTACAGAAAAAACTGCTGGTCTCATTTCTTTGTGAAAAAAATTCTTTGTCTGACTACTGACGAATTTCGACGTGTACGATATCCGTTAAAGGATTGATGAAGGGTTGAGTATCTATTTATTAGAATAGGCAGTATTAAAACGAGGAGAGGACCTGAGAAAAGCCCTTAGTCAACTCCCAAAACGAATTTGAAGATCTATAGTTTCACGCCTCATATTTTTTTTAACAACTGGATCAGAGTTTACTATAAAATATCGAACCCAAGGTGTCTTTTGCTGCCTCGACCTTCCTGCTTGTTGAGTAACTAGTTGAAAGGGAATTGTTGAGATTCGATCAATGTATTATGTAGAGCGAGCATATACCGTATTACTTGCCACGAATGCTAGGCTTTCCGGGGAGGGGAGGGGTTAGGCTTGGCGCGTAGCCAGCCCGTATTCGACGAATTGTTGTCGCTTGCCTGCTTGGTGGAGAGTGTGCTTGCACCACGTTCAACTCAGCTCCTCGCCCGCCTATGTTTCTTCCTTGTGTGTGTTGTGTGAATCAGAAGAGAGGTGATCTGTACGTCTATCGATTTCTCGAATTCCAAGAAAATATAAGTTGACAAAGGAGATTTAGGTACACATTAACCAGGACGCCGGC